ACTCGCCCCTCCTCATGAAGTACTGGTTTCCCATGAAGTTGGGGCGCTCGTAGACCATGAAGCAGCCGCTCTCCACCCTGCAGGAGTGACACCTGCTCAGGTAGGAGGACATGTCGGGGCAGTCGCTCATGCACTCATAGGAGCGGCCCTGGAAGTTCCTGTCCTCGTAGAAGATGATCTGGAAAAAAGTAGCAAATCATTTTATTAACCAAAAGCTTCAGTTACTCCCTGATTACACATCTGTTGGCGAGTTAATGTTGCTTTGGTAAGTGTTACTCTTTCCTACCTTGCCCATGTTGACTGCGGTGGTTAGTCAGATCTCTCAGAGAACTGTTTTTGAACTGATGCCCTGCCAGTCTGCACAAGTTACATTTATACCTGGCAGGACACAAAGACTGTTTGTCCCTCCATTGTTCAAAGGCCTGACCCAGCAACCTACTATGGAAGCCTATAGAGTTTTGCGTTGCTTACCCATATATCAACAAGGTCACAACCTCAGTGCAGAATGTTCCTTTCACAAGAGTTTATTTCTTTCCAAAAAAAATAGTGTATTTGCTTATAGACGAGTGTCATTGATGGTGTACAACTGTTGCTGGAAGCTGCACAATGCAGCTGTTGATCCAGGCCTGCCAAAAGCCACATTTACGTGAGTTATAGCTTCATCTCATTTTGAATTGCCATAGAAGAATTACAGACACTGAGCTAATATTTAACTAAAGCTAAACTTTTAGTGGATCAAGATTTTTGTGAACAGCAAACTTCATTACAATGTTGAAAGTAACGTCATTGTCATCTGATTGCAGGTAAGATCGACCAATGCCATTGAGGTAGGACTAGTGTAGTAAAATAAATATAAATAAATGGTTTTCAAGGTTAAAGAAGTGACTCCACAATGTGGCATTTAACAAAGAAATTAACGTGAGACACTAAACAGGTTGAATATCTTGAAGCCATCTTGTGCCTTTGAGAGAACTGGATGAAACTGTTTGATAATAATGTTACAGGATTTCTAGAATGGCTGCTGTCCTGTTGGACTGTACTTTGTGCCAGTTTGGGCCAATAAGTCAAATTCTGCATGTGAGGTCATTTTACATCCCTGTAAAAAAGAAAAACAGTTTGCAGAATGAATAAAGAATAATGAACAGGAAACTCTCCGTTTTCCATTATGCTGTTTAAATATCTTATTTTCTATACTTGTAGTCATGTTGTGAATATATCCTGAAAGCTTTTGTGGGAGCAGAATAATTCCATAAAAAGTTTCTTCAGGAAGGTACGCCTCCTCCTTGCTCTGCCTCCACCTCTTTTTATTGAACTTTCATAAATCGTTATCTCAATAGAAAACCTTATAATAGTAGAAGTTTAAGGCCTCAGTGGATGCATTTAATTTGACAAGGAGCACCTTCTATTTTTTTATTTTTTAACTTTAAATAAGCAGTGAATAAAGATTGGTTTGGATGATAAGGTCACCGAGGTTAGTAGGACAAGCCTGAATTGAAAAAGAAAGAAAACCGACTCCCACTTGCACCAGTGTCTGATGTAACCACCGATATCTGAGGAAGC